ACCTCTAACCTGTCTGTGACAGGTGTTCTTGCCCATGGGCAAATTCTCCTATCCCTTAGAGACATCTCCACCCCCTTCCTTCTGGAAGATGGCACAATAGCTACTGTGAAGAAAGGGCTATTAAAAAGTGTCCTGGGGGAAACAGGCATATGGCAGAGACTGGCCAGTCCCTCACCTTGGAACAGATCAGAGATAATTTATAGATGAGGAAACTGAGGCTCTGTGAGGGAAGGGCCAGGCTTTTCTATGCCAGAAGGCGAGTGGAGGGTCAGGAGACCCTCTAGCTGGTCAGCTGGGGAGAGTAAGCTGTAAGAAGGCTATAGGAGGGTATCTGAGTAGGTGACTGGGGTCCTGGGCCGTCTGCTAGTTAGGGCTCAACAGGTCCCTGTGAATCTCAGAGCCAGCCATTTCAGACATGAAGGAGAAAAGTAAGAATCAAAGGATGGGGTAGCATCCACATGCTGGAAGGGATCCTCAGGTCTCATCCTCAATTGCAAGAGGGTGCCCACTCCTGCCCTGTAATGAAGAAGGGCCTCCCCACTGCAACAGGTAGTCTTCCCCATCATGGGCAACCCTGCAGAGTCCAGATGCAGGCAGTGGCTTCCTCCCATCCTGTCAGGCAGGGCCCTGAGCTGCTGCAAGGTGATGTAATATAAGCTTGGACCAAGAAATGGGGGTGGGGTGCACTTCACAGCTTCTCTAGAAAGACTCCACAGAGACCCCTAGAGGGGGAGTAGGGGCAAGACAGAAGTGAGAGTTAACTACCTAGACTGCCAATCTTTTCCTTTAAAGTGATTCACTTTTTAATTTAATTTTTTATTAGTGCATATAGTTATACATAATAGTTGGGTTAATTTTGACAAAAATCATATAAGCATGAAATTTGGTTTACTCATTTCAGTTCCTGGTGCCTCCTTGCCCCTCCTCCCTTCCCTCTACTGGTCTTCCTTTCACTCATTCATTTTTTTAAAAAAATTTTTTTGAGGTACCGAGGATTGAACTCAGGGGCACTGGACCACTAAGCCATGTCCCCAGCCCTATTTTGTACTCTATTTAGAGACAGGGTCTCACTGAGTTGCTTAGTGCCTTGCTTTTGCTGAGGCTGACTTCAAATTCATGACCCTTCAGCCTCAGCCTCCAGAGACACTGGGATTACAGGTATGCACCTCCACACCCAGCTCATTTGTTTATTTTTGATTGGTGCTTTATAGATAAATATAAAGGTGGAATTCACTGTGGTATATTTATACATGTACATAATTTTGTAAAATTCATTCTGCATTTCCTGCCTTTTCCCATCCCTCCTCCTTCTCTATTTTCTTCTTCTATTCCATTGATCTTCCTTCTATCTTTATGATGTTCAACATCCTCTCCCCACCCCATGTACTCCACCTTTTGCATATGAGAAAAAACATCGGACCCTTGATTTTTGGAGTCTGGCTCATTTTACTTAGAAAGTGACTTACTTTTTAGAGGTAGACATTTCAATGCTTGTTTCAGTGTCAGCAATTCAAGAATTCATGAATTGAATCAATACGTTTTCTGATACACATGAAAATACATAATTTTCAAAATTAAACATTCATTTGTGAAACTATCTTAAAATGGCCTTGAGTGCCATGGTCATCTTACTGGGAAGCCTACCCTGGAGGTAGATGGTAACTTTTACTTCAGAGAGAAGAAAACTGAAGACCTGGCAGGGGAGGGCTCTGCTGCAGAGGATGGTTGAAAGAAGTAAATGTTAAGAACATAGGAACCTGCATGACTTTCACATACAGTATGTGTGGCTGGGAACAGCTCTGCCTGCATTTAGCTGAGTGGGACCAGGTAGGGCTAGATCCAACTCAGCTAGCTGTTTGTCTTTGCCCCTGGTCCCTCTTATTCACAGAGGGATCTCAGCTCTTCACCCATCTCCTGGATGCTTTTGTTCTTGGTGATTTCCTGATTTCAGGTGGCCTCTGCTGGCACACCAGACAATGAAAAGGGAGGGGAAAGAATTCAGGGTTCTCCCTGCCTCCAACTAAGGGTCATAATATGACCACAGCAAAGTCACCTAGGAAAGACCATAAAAACCTCGAGTTCCTGATGGGTTGGAAAGCCTTCTAAATCTAGGCCTCTGGCTTCACCTTGGCCTGAAACCAAGATGCTAAAATCTTTAGATCTCAGGATTCAAACATCTGTATTTGAATTGAATTCATGAATTGAATCAATACATTTTCTGATACATACGAAAATACATAATTTTCAAAATTAAACATTCATAATTCGTGTACTTGGTTTGACACTTAGCCAAGTAAACATGTCTTTGCACTCTGGTCACAGCCTTTAGGACGGACACATTACTTGAATGTCGCGTGAATGCTATCAGTGTCTGGCGCTGAATCGGTGGGGTCAAGATCCCAGGGGACCAGCCGGGATTAACAGTCGCGTAGCAGAGCCTCCTAGCACCCGGACGGGCGGGGTGGGTGAGTGCGAGGACAACACTGCTAGAGGTTGCGGGCGCTGGAAGAGTCAAAAAGTATCGGTACGCCCCCTAGTGGGAGTTCTGGGGACAGATTTCTGCAGTCCTCGGCTCAACTCCACTCCTAACCCCGAGGCCACGTGACGGTCAGCCAACCTTGTACGGCGAGCAGGGACAGGGAATTCAGCCAGAACTAGAGTTCGCGTCCCCTTTCACAACCCCAACTTCATTCCCTGCTCTCCGCAGTATTTTTTTTGTTTTGGGTTTTGGTACCGGGGATTGAACCCAGGGGCGCTTTACCACTGAGCTACATACAGCTCCAGACATTTTTTATTTTTTTAAATTTTGAAATAGGGTCTCGCTAAGTTGCTTACGGCCCGGCCCGATAAGTTGCTGAGACTGGCCGGGAACTTGCGATCCTCAGCCTCGCGAGTCGCTGGGATTACAGGGGTGAGCCATACCTTCCTGGCCCTGTCGCCCTGCTTAAGCCCTTGGTGGTTTGCGACTTTCGCTTGTGTTCCTACAGCTTTCATAACTGGGATCAGGCGCAGGGAGGGAGCAGCCTCTCCTTTCCAGGTGAGACAGATCTTTGGTGCAGCGAAAGAGGGCCGGGCTTGAGATAGCGCCTCTTTCAGCTGGGGGCGTGTCCCTAAGACTCCGCCCTAGACTCCTCCTTTAGCCCCTTGTGACTAGCGCTGATGCATTGGTCCGGGGGACGAAGCGGTCTCTGACTCAGCTCATCCAAGTCCCACCACAGCCACCATGCCACGCGGGAGCCGAAGCGCGGCCGCCCGGCCAGCCAGGTGTGAAAAGGACAGGGACCCCATGGGGAGGAGGGGAAAGTGCGGGCACTCTATCAAGGGCGTCCGTAGTGACCTTTGTTGTTACTGCGCCATCTTGGTGGGGGGAGGGTCTGGGGGGCAGCAATCAAGTATCTAATTCGGGGGCGCCCTCCTGGTTTTCCGGGAGTAAAGGCGGTCGTTTCCAGAAGCTGCAGGGTCCTGAGAACCCTGGCCTAGGGTCCAGCAAGGATTAACCCTGCTTCCTCCTATCCCTGTAGTCGCCCAGCGGCACCTTCTGCCCATCCACCTGCACACCCACCGCCCTCAGCAGCTGCCCCGATTCCTGCCCCCTCGGGCCAGCCAGGTCTCATGGCACAGATGGCATCCACGGCCGCTGGGGTAGCCGTGGGCTCCGCTGTGGGACATGTCATGGGCAGTGCCCTGACTGGAGCCTTCAGTGGAGGAAGCTCAGAGCCTGCCCAGCCTGCTGCCCAGCAGGTAAGCAGCAGGACCCAAGAGAAACTGAGGCAGAATTCTCTCAAGGCCACATAGGGAAGAGTGTCCAGTGGAGTGTCTTGATGTATACAGAGTTGCCTCAGGCCTAGGACTTTGACTAAGGAGGGTCCTATTCCTCACTCTGCTGTTGAGCTCACTGTCACTTTATTGGCAGGCTCTGTCCCTCTTTGAGGGCAAGGTCCCTGGACTCTTAGGGACTGATACCAACCAGCCCTTTAAAAATGGGAAACCCAGGTTCAGTGGGACCCAGAGATTTACCCAAATTCACCTAACCCTAGTAGAGTGACAAGGGATGTTGAATTTACCAAGCCCTTGTTCTCCTTACCCAAATTCAGTATTGTAGCTGCTAGGCCCAATGTGAAGGTCAGCCTGTGTCATGGCTCCTGGTCTCTGATGACCTGTCCCCCACTGAGGCCTTACCAGTCCTGAGCCAAATCCAAATGCCGCTTAGCAGTTAGGTCAAGGGTCATAAGGATCAGTATGGCTGAGCCAGGAGGTGGGGCTATTTTCAGAGTATATAAAAGATTCTAGAATCTTTTCCTCCTTCCTCCCTTGCTCCTCCCCAGCATGCCCAATGTGAGGCAGCAAGGAAACCCTGTGTGCATTAGTTTAATGACATTGAAGAGGGTGGCTGGCTTGCTCTGTTTCATGGATGTAGCAGCTCAGCTGAGGTTAGACAGGGGCAGGTCAGACCTGGGATCTTTGAGGCAGCAAGACAGGATATGGGGAGAGGCAGGCAGCCCCCAGCTTTGGAACCTATCTCTAGGTATCAACCTTGAGCTGACAGTTTTGCCTGTCACACTCCCCCCTGCAGGCCCCTACCCGTGCTGCCCCACTACAGATGGGACCCTGCTCCTATGAGATCAAACAATTTCTGGACTGCTCAACCACTCAGAGCGACCTGTCCCTGTGTGAGGGCTTCAGTGAGGCCCTGAAGCAGTGCAAATATAACCATGGTGAGAAATTGGACCCTATCCCAGGTGGGGATTGAAAGGGGCAGACCTTCTTTTTGCACCTGCAAGCGACAACAGCCTATGCTGCTCCTTCCCTCCACAGGTCTGAGCTCTCTCCCCTGAACATGTTGGTGCAGACTCATTGGCCAGCTCTGAGATGGCTCCTGGGTCCTAACCCTGTACCCACCCCATCCCCTTACGGACAGCTGGACCATGAAGACAGATTGTAACTGGGACTGGGAGTAAGAAGGAAGTTTCCTACCCCATAGATAACTCAAGACACAAATGTGCAATTAAAGAGTTTATTTTAAATCACAGCCTGTTGTGTGTCCTCTTGCTGGCCTGTCTGCTGGAAGCACCCTAGCTAATGAACTGGGATTAGGGGAGATGGATGGATATCTCACTGTAGTGTGCTGTATATCACCTGAAACAGGCATCCTGGGTAGGGTGGGAAGAGTCTTGTAATAATCTGTACTTGGGGCAGTCAAGGGTGGACTACTTTGGGCAGCCCAAAGGCGGGTGATGAGGCATTAGAGGTGATCTCAAGAGCATCTGACTTTGGGGGCTGGAATCCCAGAAGAAGCCTTTTGTTTCTACTTCTCAGTAGAAGGCACCTTTTGTGCTTTTGACTCTGGGCGCCTTTCTCTGCACCCACATCATAGGGGCTTTCCCCCTCAGAGGCCTCACAACCTTTCTGTGACCTTGCTCCTCTTAATGATGCAAGGTCTCAGTAATTCCGGATTGGGCAGAGGAATCTTGCTGGGCTGTTGTCTATTTGCATCTTATCACATGAGTCAGAGGTCACGGCCAGCCCCCTTGACTCCGAGTCCAGCTTGTCCACTTGGCTGTGATATGCCAGGCTGTGGTATGTCCAGGGACCTGCTGGAACAAAGGAGCAGGCCCTTCAAACTCAGTGCAGATTGCTCTAACACACACTGCTTCTGCCTTCCTTGGGTTCATTAAGCAACTTTGCATTGAGCACCTATCATGTTCTACATGCCCTGTTCTACATCCCCTAAGCACTGAGAACAGTCCTGCCCTTAGGGTGCTTACACTCCAGTGGGGTGATCCATCTCCAGTACAATGTGTAACAACCATCTTGGGAGCATAGATATGCATGGTTGGCACTGAGGGTCTGCCTCTCTTAGCACATATGTGTCTGCCTTCTGGTAAGGGGTTCCACTTCTGGGTGCCCATATCTCTTCCATACCTGGCTCCTGGCACCAGCTAGCGAGTCCTGGATGGCAGGGAGCTCACCCTTCCAGCTCTTGAAGGGGGCTCTAGTTCTCGATGGCTACGCCGAGTGCTCATGCGTCTCCTCCGGCCATTGCCCATGGTGGAGATGCCTGATAGCCAGCGCAGCTCCTCTGAAAGACCCAGGAAACCCTGATGGTGGGACTGGGGGAGAAGAAATGCCTTTCCCCCTAGGGTTCTACCCTGACACTTACCTGCCAGCTCCGGACACTGATCATCCAGGTTCTCTAGTAGGGACTCATAGCGGGTAGGTGCCCCATCCTCCCCCCCTGTGGAGTATGGAGAGAGAACAAAAGACCCCTAACTGGCCTGATGGTCCCTATCCCACCTCTTACTCTAGATCTGTTTGTTGGCCCAAGCTGGGGGTCAGGACAGGGCAATGGATAGGGACAAGCTGGGGCTAGGTCCTGGTCAAAGTGAGGGCTAAGCAGGGCTTTGTGTGGTCTGTGACCTGCTGTCCCGCCTTATAATCCAATACAACCGCAGGGGAGAGTCTTGGGTCCACTTACTGATGATTTTCACAAGGACATATGTCCCTCGTTCCTGTAGAAGAGGACTGCCCTTGGAGGAGGCTGGGGAAGTCTTCTCCTCTAGGTCCTCACCTAGGCTCACAAGTTGTCCATCCTCAGCTAAGAGGGCAATGGTTTCTGGGAAGGCATGGAGAGAGGCTGGGCAGGGCTGGTACCCTTGCATGGGGTCCCTCAGCCTCTCCTCCCCTGATCCCTCCCCATCTCCTTACCATCTTGGGGGACCTGTCCCCTCTGCTTCAAGTGGGCAGTGAGGGTCATTAGGCTGCACCAGGGGTTCACCAGCTCCCCGTAGCCGGCTGTGGGGTAGGGGTAAAGGTGAGCAGGTATGATCCCCTACTTTCTCCTCAATCAGGGCCCTCTGCCACTTTCTCCCATTTCTCCCCTCCCTAGAGCTGCGACTAGGGCTATGGAACTAGGACTTACCCCAGGCACCGTAGTCCAGGCAATTTTGCATAAACTTCTTTGCAGACATCCATCCATCTTGACAGATGTGGATAACTGGGGCGCACAACTCAAGGTTCCCACACGGGCCAGACCCCAGCCCTGATCTAGGAACTAGCTTGGTGTCCGGCACTGGCCCCGCCCCCGACGGCCTACTTCGCACTGGAACCGCCCCCTCGCTCTAACCCCGCCTCCTACATCCCGCTGACCAGCTTCCCACCAGAGGAGCAGTGAATCAGCTTCAGATGTGTGTTGCGAGCTGAAGCTTGAGGACCACTAACGGAATGGCAAAGCGATAGGTTCAAAAACGTGCTGCCCGGTGGCTTGGCAGCCCTTCCCGGGAGGAACCTGCATGAAGTATCAAGGCAGGACCCACCGGGATTTTCCCCAAGGGCCTCACTCCAGGTGCTCAGTTTGCCTCCTCCTTATTTCGGTTTCTCTGAGCCCTGTATCCCTTCCCCATCTGCACATTTTCTTCCCGCCGCTGCTTTCCCACTGCAGAGGGAGGCACGCCTCTGCGTGTGACTCACCCCCACCGGCCTTCCAGGGCTGGGGAACCCCACTTACCTCCAAACATCACCGTGACAAACATGGATGCAGCGGGGAAGAGACTGATCTGGTGGGGCTTTGAGCCACCAACTCTGGACTTCCTCACTCGGGAAATGCCTGGGACAGATCTACTCCGGGGTGGGGTTGGGGAGGTGTGTACAAGTGCGGGTGGATGGGAGAGTGGTCCCAAGCCCAGATCCCTGCTCAGCCAGCCACTTGTTCAACTAGTCCAAGACCTCTGTCCTCTTTCTTCTGCCGCTCGCTGGGCCAGAGTAGCGTCCCCTAGCTCCCAAGCAGGTCTCCAAGGCAGCGGGAGTCGCCAAGACCTCCAGGCAGGAAATGCCTTAGCCCCAGTATCCCGGTAACGGACCTGAAGGGGCGGGCATTCCTTGAGGCCGGGTTCTGGTCCCGCCCACAGTGGGGGCTCGAGACCAGGGGTTCAGGGGTGCTCAGATGAAAGAGTCGGAGACCACATCGGTTATCAGGAAGAGGCCCAAGCTGGAAGAGGTGTGTGTGTGTGTGTGTGTGTGTGTGTCTGTCTGTCTGTCTGTCTGTCTGTCGTCACCAATCTCTGCAGGCTACCAATCAGTTCGAGGCCATCTTCCTGTGCTCGTTTTTCTTTTCTCCTCCCTCTCTCAAATTTCACGCTCTTCTGCCCTTCTTTCTTGTTAGCCATGTTTATTAAGATAAAATTTGCAAACAGTAAAATTTGCTGTTTTTAATGTTTTCGAGTTTTAAGAAATCTCATGTAACCATCCATCACAGTCAGGATATAGAACATTTCCATCGCCATCCCAAATTCCTTTGTGCCTCTTTGTAGTTGTGAAAGTTGTCAGAATCAAAATGGAGTCACTTTTGTCGAGCCCTGAACACCCCTCTCCGAAATTAATAAAGTTGGGAGGTTTACAGAGGAGGGAATCTTACCTATGCATGTTTGATAATAAGAAATATTCACGAAGGTCTCGGCTGGAATCACAATCTTGTACAAAGGCCACAACAACCTTACACAGAAATAATTCTGCACAGACATCTGCCCAACAACTGTGTATTTAACCTTGGACTGATGCCACCCTTGTTATTTATACTTCTAGCCAAGGATTATTATTTAAAAATATTTTATGTAATCCATTTCACCTTCAAAAACTTCTTGCCTCAATCTCCTTGAATATGCTGGTAGTTAACTATGAATCATTTATTTCTATTGCAATGTTACATTCCCAGATAAACTTAATCTTTTCTTTTTTGTATTGGGGATTGAACCCAGGGGTGCTTAACAGTTGAGTCACATCCCCAGCTCATTTATTTTTCGAGACAGGGTCTTGCTAAGTTGCTGAGGCTGGCTTTGAGCTTATGATCCTCCTGCCTCAGCCTCCTGAGTCCCTGGATTACCGTTGTTCACCACTGCTCAGCAATAAACTTAATCTTTAGGGAAATCTCTAGTTGTTATTTCTGTCAAAATAGTTCCTGCTCTGTTTTCTGTCCTTGCCTTTTCCAGTATGTCCTATAACTGGAACCATACAGCATGCAGCCTGTTGTGTCTAGCTTCTTTCATTCAACATGATGCACTTGAGATCCATCAAGGTTGTTGTGTGTATCCTTATTGCTGAGGAGTGCTCCATTGTCCGGATTCACGTCCTGTCATTTTGAGTTTTTTTCCAGTTTGGTGAGATTTGCATAAAGTCAGTGTAGACATTTGCTTATAGGTTCTCGTGTGCACAAAAGTTTTCATTTCTCTAGTAAATACCATAAGAAGGATTGCTGGGTCATCTAGTGAATATATGTTTAAATTTACAAGAAACTTCCAACTGTTTTCAGCCTGTCCTCACTGTTTTGCATTTTCCTGCCTTCTGTCTTGTTGCTTCTGGGTCTCCTGGATCGATAACAGGTCATAATCGTCTCTTTAGTTCTCACTACTAGTTAGTCCCTCTTATCAGCTCTATTTATTTGCAGTGCTGGGGCTCAAACCCAGTGCTTCACACATGCTAAGCAAGTGCTTTAGCACTGAGTTACATTCACCCTAATCTTCTCACTAGCTTTTGCCATATTCCCTGCTCCTTATATCTATTTGTCTGTCTCTCCTCCTTTCCTTTCTGTTTCCTCTCTTTCTTTTTTTATGGTCTCACACTTAACCTATTGCTCTGCATCTAGATCTGTGTTCATCCTTCCTTTGACTTTTTTCCTCTGTTTCTTTGTCATTCTTTCTCTTTCCTTCTTGCCTACTGCATCCCCTCTTTCTGCTTCTTTTCTCACCCTTCCCCATTAACCTCCACCAGACCCCTGTAAGTCAGAGTGCTAGTTTCAATCCATGATCAGTTGGCCCCATTATTTTGGGCCTGTGGTGAGGCATCAGATCATGGTGGGAGAGTGTGATGGAGGAAACTGCTCATCTTATGTTGACTGGGAAGCAAAGTGAGAGTTAGTAAGGGAATGGATTCCTACTATCCTCCCAGGGTATGTCCCCAGTGACTTGAGACCTCCCACTAGGCCCCCTCTTAAAAGTTCTAGTTCTACTGTCTTCTGATAGTACCTACCTGAGGACCAAGCCTTTATTATCTGGGCCTTTTGGTGATATTGAAGATCCAAAATATAGCACTTAATAAATGCAGTGTGCTCAGCACTGAAACAATATATCCTATCTTTGCATCTTCATTGCTTTCCAGCTTCCAATGTGCTTATGTGCATTTCAGATGGTGAAACTGAGGTACAGGAAGGGGAAATAACTTGGCTAGAATCATGCAGTTGAGATCAGAAGCTGGGATTCTAACCTGTAGTGAAAACCATTTCAGCTTTCCTTCATCTGGCCAAGGAAAGGGACTGACAATGTCAAGGCTAGTGAGGATGTGAAGTCACTAGAACTCTTATCCTGCTGGTGGGAGTGCAGATGGCTACAACCATGTTGGGAACCTTGGCAGTGTCTAATAAAGCTAAATGTGCACATTCTCTACCACTTGGCAATTTCACTCTGGGTAGCTCTACAGTAAAAATGACAACATAGGTGCACCAAAAGACATTGACAAACATGTTCACAGCAGTTTTACTGGTCCTGACCAAAGACTGGAAAGCTTCCAGATATCTAATAATAAGAGAATGGATAAAATGGATAAACTAGTTGTGGTATCTTCACACAATAGATTATACACAGCTATGAGAACTTTGAATTACATATTGCTGCACACACAGGACTCTCATAATGTTGGACAGTAGAAGTAGGTTCACATACACATATCCCACTATAATTCCATTTATAGTAGAAGTTCTAAAGAAGGCAAAATTAATCTAAAGTGATTGAAGTCAGAATGATGGTTCCCTTGGGGGATTATGTTAGTCAGCTTTCTGTCACTATTACAAATACCAGAGATAACCAACCTAAATAGGAAAGTTTTATTTTGGCTCATAGTTTTGGAGGTTTCAGTCCATGATCGGTTGACTCTGTTGCTTTTCGGCTTGTGCTGAGGCAGCACATCATGGTGGGGAGTATGAGATAGAGCAAAGCTACTCACCTCAAGGCAGTCCAGGGAATGAAAGAGAGGAAGAGGAAGGAGTTTGGGTCCCATTTATCCCCTTTAAGGTCACACCCTCACTGATCTGTCTTCCACTGGGGTCTACCAATAGAGCCAAGCCAGGGACCAAGGCTTTAACACATGGGCCTTTAACAGACATTTTAGATCTAAACTATAGCAGGGGTGGAGGCTGTTACTGATTGGAAAGGTGCTGAGGGGCCTTCTGGAGACATGAAAATGTTCTAAATCTTGATCCAGATGTAGGGTTGCAGGGATGTTTGTATTGTATGTGTGTTATATATTACATGTATATACACTATATATAAATCTGTGTGTATTTATATATAAAATCATCGAACTATATGGTTAATTATATGTGCACTTTCCTTTAGTCTGCAGCCAGCACAGATGGTGTAAGTGGTTCGGTCACGCGGAAAAATCCTCAGGGAGTTTAAATTAAAGACACAGACTCCATTTTACCTTTAAACCAGCTCCTGGATGGCTCCTCCTCGAACCCTCAGCCTCAAGCTTCCCAGGGGGGCAGCGAGGTTTTACTGAAGAGGCTAGGGAGAGAGAACGAGCACGCTAGGGAGAGGGCTTTTATTGGGGAACCAAGAATTCTGGGGAAAATCCCATCCAATGAAGGTCAAGGGGGGCAGTGTTGCAAGGTTAGGTGCGGTGGTTGGATCTTTGGGGCAGTGGTGAGACACGCCTCCACAATGACAAACTCTCAAACCCAAGAAGGGTGTGGAAAGCTCTTTACCACATTAAAAAGTGACTGAGCGCCTCACACCCAGCCGGGGAGGAAACTCAATCTCATGCAAGGACGATCTCCCACACTTTCCTGTATATCAGTTGTATCTCAATGAAGAAACAGATTCTAAGGCTGGGAATGTGGCTCAGTGGTAGAGCACTTGCCTAGCATGCTTGAGGTTCTGGTTTGTATCACCAGTGCTACAAAAAAGCAGATTCCAATCTCCTGCTATCACTTGAGGATTTCCAAGCTTCTGAACTCCCAATGTCCTAGTGTCAGGATCCTGACATTGGGAAGATAGGGCCTGGCCATTGGCCCCAGCTATACCCCTCCCTTCTCAGTCAATGGACTGATTTGCATGCCTTGTTGTGGTCCAGCAACCTGCTTAGCCCTGTGCCCCTAAGCACCTAAGCTTAGTAGAAAGACTGCCAGCCTTCCAGTCTCTGGCCATGGTCTGCCCCAGGTGCCTGGTCCTCCTTCTGATGGGAGTCTTCCTAGCAGGTGAGTCCTCCCTTGGCCTGGCTTATTTGAGAATGGGGTGGGGGAGGCACTAGCCCCAGAAGGTCCCTGCAAGGAAGCAAATCTGTAGGGACTATAAGGAGGATCCTGGGAAAGGCATTCAGGTGAAGAGGAGAGCTGGCTCCAGGCAGCTTTGCCACTGACCTGGGGTAAATCTTTTCCCTGTGTGGGCCTTGGTTTCTCCATTTGTGAATGATCAGATTGCCAGGGTCCCTTAGGGCTCTTATCCTTTGGGGTCTTAGGAGAATGGAGAGAATCACCTTAGTTTTATAGAGGAAAGGGATAGTAGAAAGTTACTATCCCACAAGGCCTCAGAGGCAACCTAACACTGAAAATGTCCTGAGAAGCCAGTGGACTGAGGCTGAGCTGACAGGTGATGCAGCCTAGAGTTTCCTGGGGTGTAAGCCTATAACCAGAGTTTGTGAAACAGACAGGGAAGAATCTTGAGAGAAAGGGAGCCGGACATCAGAAATACCCAGAGGGCACTAGTCCAATTCTTTGAATCTAGGCTTTCAAATGAACATGGATTTTTTGGGGACATGGTAGTAACAATGACATGAGGGTCACTGGTTCCAAAGCCCTTACTCACCGAGAGAAATGGAGGCCTAAAAACAACACCATAAGTCACATGGAACAAGGTTTCCTGCATCTGATTCAGTGCTAGTCCTACCACACTAGGTTATGAACCCTTTGGGAATGGGCATCTCTTTGAGGTCTGACCAAGCCTTCATAGGCAGGGGCAGGAGGGAAGGGGCCCAGGCTGGGCCTGAATGAATCTGTATTTCTTAGTGTCCCAGCCAGTTCTGGCTCAACCAGATGCACTGCTGGTCTTCCCAGGCCAAGTGGCTCAGCTCTCCTGCACGCTCATCCCCCCACATACCACCATTGGGGACTACGGTGTATCCTGGTACCAGCAGCGGGCAGGCAGTGCCCCCCGTTACCTTCTCTACTACCGCTCAGAGGAGGACCACCACCGGCCTGCTGACATTCCTGACCGATTCTCAGCTGCCAAGGACATAGCTCACAATGCCTGTATTCTAACCATCAGCCCTGTGCAGCCTGAGGATGATGCGGATTACTACTGCTCTGTTGGCTACGGCTTTGGTCCTTAGGGGTGGGGTACGGAGTGAATTTCTCCTGCCTGCCCACCACTTCTGCCCCTGACCTTTGGAACCTCTCTTTCTCTGAGCCTTCCTCTGTAAAATGGGCTAATAACATTCAACATGTCAATAACAGCCATGAAATCCTGGCTGAAAAAGTGATTGTGATTGGTCTAGGACTATGTGTGTGTGTGTGTGGGGGGGGTGGTTTCTGGGGATGGCTGCTGAAAAGGAAACACCTGAGACCCTTGGGGAGTGGTCGGCCCTACCCCTGGCCCCCAGAGGCTCAAACTGGTGGCCTGGCTTTCCGGTGACCTCGGGTGCTAGAGAGAATGAAAAAGGAACCAGCCCTTGCCACCCCCGGCTCTTCATGGCTGGCTGACTGTGGTCCAACGCTCACAAATCTGGTGGCTGGTCCCCATGGACCAGCTGGTTTGGGGAGGGGCAGACTCTGTCTCCCTACCTGGTTTTTGCCGAAGGCCCCACTTATCCTTGAGATAGCAAGGTGTGTGTAGGTGGTGTGGGACATGGAAGAGATTCTGAGGCATATGAGGGCTAGAGCTGAAGTATTGAAGGAGGAAGGCAGGCAGAAGGCAAGAGCAATATCCCCCCTCTTGGGAACAGTGTGTTCTCTTGAGGGAGGCTTCCCCACAGTCTGAGCAGATACATCAAGGGATGGAGCAACTGGACAGAGAGGGTGAGCTGACAAGTGATGCAGCCATCAGAAGCCGAGTTGAGTGTCTGGGACAGAGGCATGTGCACATTCAAAAACACAGCCTTGCTGGGCATGGTGGCTCATACCTGTAATCCCAGGTATCTGGGAGGCTTGGGAGTTTGAGCATAGCCTGAGCAACTTACTGAAATCCGGTCTCAAAATAAAATAAAAAGGGCGCAGGGGTTGTGGCTCAGTGGCACAGCGCCTGCCTTGCACATGTGAGGCACTGGGTTTGATCCTCAGCACCCCATAAAAATAAGTAAACAAAATAAAGATATTGTGTCCATGTATAATTTAAAAAATATTTTAAAAATAAAGTAAAAAGGGCTGGGGTTGTAGCTCAGTGCTTGCTTATCATATGTGAAGCTCTGGGTTCAGTCCCCAATGTGGGAAAACAGACATCCCTCGGTCTGGAAATGTAATTAAGTGGTAAATGCTTGCCTACCTTACACAAGGCCGTGAATGTAATCTCCAGCACAAAATAAAAACAAAATAAAAAAGCCCAAACACATTATTCTTCCTTCCTGGTGCCCCAAGATTAACCTCCTGGAGGTCAGCACAAAGATGCACAAAGTTCCTGTCTCTGTGGGGAAGGGGCAGGCCCAGATCTAACCTGGGTGGTGAATGCAAACCGGACCCCTGGATCTGTCAACAATTCTGAGACCTTCCTCTCCTTATCCTGAAGGCCTCTGTTGCATACAGCCCCAGGGTAAGTCGTACAGGCGCCTGTGGCTCTAGATCTGCCACCTTTCCCGGCCTGTTTCCTCCCAGTACTCCGACCAAAGCTGGGGCAGCTGTTTTTTCCACGGCCAGACTCCCAATTGGGACGGACGGAATCACCGCACCGCCCAGAAGAGACTCTCCTGGCTGTCCCAGTGCCTCTGGATCGAGGTGGCTGAAGCGTACAGCACGACCACCGAGACGTTGGGACCTCCACGCTGACTAGAGCGGTCCCGGAAGTGCTCGGGGGCAGGGGGCGGGGCTCCGGGCACTCCGGCGATCTCAGGCTCAGAGTCAGCAGCAGCGGCGGAGTGAGGCCGCGTCTGCCGGGGGTTGGAGCGGGTCAGGTGTAGCCCCGCCCCTCCCGCGGCCCCGCCCCGGCCCAGGTGAGCCGCCTCGCCCCGCCCCGGCCCAGGTGAGTTGCATCGCATCCGCTAGTGTGACCCAAGTCTTCCTGACCACCTGTCCCTCGGGTGTCCCCGCGTATGGGTGTCCCTAATCGGTGGGAAACCTGTAGGGGCGCTGGGGAGCGCGTGTGGGTCTGCGGCCGCTCCCGGGCCTCCAGTCAGGAGATCCTGACCGCACTAGGTTTACCAGGTGTCCAGGACCTAGGGGCTACCTGGAGGCTGGGGTGACGAATGCAAGAGGAGCTGGGAAAGGCACCGAGAGAATTGGGAAACATGGAGTTTCCAGACCTTTGTATTTTCGGTCCAAAAACATGTAACACATTCTTGGGGATAGATAAAGGATTACTAATTTTTTTTTACTCCTGAGTGGAGACTTCAGCGGGTAGGGACTACATAGTGACGAACAGCCTCTAAGGAGGCAAACTTGGCAACGCCAGGAGTTAACAGGTGGGTGGAGGAAGAGTTGCAATCCACAGATAATCAGGCAGGAGGGATCAGAGGGTATGAAAATTGTGGAGCAAACTTGCAGAAGCCAAAGGAATAAAGGAGGGATGAGGGACTATGGGGACAACTTAAAAGTTTTCAGGTACTTAGGTAGGCAATGTGGGTTAGTGAAAGGGTGGGCCCAGATTGCCACATCTTCCAGGTTTTCAAGAGGAAGCTAGAGACTTACTGAGTTTTAAATATTGACCATTAAAGAAAAGTCCAACTCTTTGTGTGCCAAACAAAATGTGTCCGTGTGTTGGTATCCCCAGGCTTGACAGTTTATACCTTCTGAAATGTTCTGTTTGGAGGAGGTATTGATTAGCAATGCCAGATGGGGTGGGAAGATGAGGACTAAGAACAGAGAGATTTGGCAAATAAGGTCATTGGATGCTAGTGTTGAGTGCTGAGGTTCCAGCTGAAACTGAAAACTTGGTGTCTGTTGTGGTTTCTTGCATAGTGGTATGATTTTCCTCGGCAACACTTAACATCTTAATTGCTAGGGAAGGTTGGGAGTTAGCAAGCTTATTGCTGCAATACAAAGAAGTGAGGAAAAGAGGAAAATGATCCTGGCTAGAGAGTGGAAGGGAAGCTCATAGTTAGATCTACTGTAGAGAGAGAGGGTCTGAGCCAGATAGCAAAGGGGTGGAACTCAAAGAAGAGAACCCTGTGTAAATGAGGGGTTATTGAATTTGAGGTGATCAGTAAGCCTAGGCTTACTGTGGGCTGTTGAAGAGGAGAGGAAGGGTAAGAGGAGTCAAAGGGATCAAAGGATTTTTGAGAATACTTTAGTTCTGTGCTTTGCTATTTTTTACCCCTACACCTGACTGAAACTTTTTTTTTTTTTTTAATTCTGGGGATTGAATCCAGGTGCCCTTAACCACTGAGGCACATCCCCAGCCCTTTTTATGTTTCATTCATTGCTAGGTTGCTGAGGCTGCTTTTGAACTCACGATCCTCCTGCCTCAGCTGCTTGAACTGCTGGGAGGGATTATAGGTGTGTACCACCATGCCTGGTGGCTGAAACAAACAAGCATACAAAATTTCTAGCTGGGCACAGCAGCTCGAGAGCCTGAGGCAGGAAGATCATGAGTTCAAAGCCAGCTGCAGCAACCTAATGAGAATCTGTCTCTAAATAAAACATAAAAGGGACTGGGGATGTGGCCCAGTGGTTAAGTTCAACTGGGTTCAATCTCCCGTACCCCCCCCCCCAAAAAAAAAAAAAATCCAAATAGCATGAATTCCATGGTGACCACCTGATTAATTTAGTATTTTTTTGAGTCAATTACTCTCTAAGCTTCAGAAGAAGGATAATACATTTGTATAGAGTTGTGAGGAATAAATGAGATATGCTTGTGAAAGTCCTTGTGTTTCCCAGCACATAGTGGGAAACTGTGAGTTGTGTTGCTGTCATAATTCCATCACTTGAGGACCTCCCATTCATGTAGCAGATAAGTTTCTGAATGGAGTGCTGAAGAGCACTCTTAGGGGACACTGCAGTGGGTGGGAGAGCTGAATAGTCTAACTCCCTTCTTTGTCCCTGCTACAATACCCTTCTTCCACTGGAGCAATTCTGCTTCTGTCTCTTTTATTGGTTTTATCATCTAGACAATTATTTTTTTTCCTGTTTTGATTTTCTCTTTTTCCCCTAGACAATTATTTGAATAAAATATTTTTTTGGCAAAAAAGAAAAATGTGTGGCAGTTGTAGCACAAAATCAGGTAACTTTTCCTCCTTTTGATCATTTATTCAACTATTGTGTACATGGGATTGTATTGTTATACTGGGGATTAGGGATTGCATGGTGAGGGAACACAGTATTTGCCCTTAGGGAGCTGGAAGGCTAATGGGGAGGAGAGTATTATAAACATGCAGTATGGTGGGTATACCCATTACCTCAGGTCACTAAGGGGGCATGTCTCAGATAGTCAAGAATCTAAGGGTGCAGAAAAGAGTGGTTATTTGGACAGAGTATGGAAGGACAAGCAAGTGGCAATCTAAGAACAGGGGAAGGACCTTTTGGGAAAATACAAAAGCAGTACAAATGAATGTTGAGCTGGAAAGTTGGTATGTGGGAAAGAGAGACAGGAGAGAAGACTGAGGGACCAGGTGTGAAGGCCCTAGTGAAAGAGCTGGAATGTTAGAAGATCCAAGAATGAAAAGGACTCTGTCAGGCTTGTGCTTTGGGTACTTCACTCTGGTGCTAGTATAGAGCATGGACCAGGGGGAAGGATAGAAGCTGTAGGTAGGTAGCTGGTTAAGAGGTGAGTATTGAAAAAATCCTGGGGAGTTGCAGTCAGGCTTGAGCTGCACAGTGGCAAGTGAGGGCAGAGGGCAGAGACCCTTTGCATGCTACCCCAGGAAAAGGACAGGATGGGCCAGGTGGGGCAATAATGGAGAGGGTCTAGAATAACTACTAGGGTTCTGAATGGGCACCTGATTGGTGGTTGTGTCATTAACCTAGGGTAGGAGAGAAGTTTTGTCTCTCTTTCCCAAGAAAATCCACCCATAGCATTGTCATGTAGCTGGAGACTTGCCTTCTTTTCCACAATGGCTCCACTTCCTCTTTTAACCTACCTTTGTTTCAGCCCTTAGAAATGATGTGGCATTTGATTGTGTCTATTTGTCTTCCTTACAATTGTTTCTGGTAAGTGAAACTTGTCATCTTAAGGGCAAGATTTTTTCAACCATAGAGTCTAGCACAGGAAGAAGGTACCTGACAGTTGTTTGATTTGCTGACTTGACAACGTCCCTTGTGTTATTTTCAGATTGTGAGAACAGTAAAGGTGACCCAAAGAAGAGCATTTTTAAAGATACACAGTCATTGGGGGTGATACCAGATTCACAATGGAGGTTCCCTCAGCAACGAAGTTTGGTGAGACCTTTGTGTTTGAGGACAGGCAAGAACTTTTCCCAGGGGAGGACCTGGGGCACCCTTTTCTTCAGGAAAGAGGTTTGGAACAAATGGCTGTTATCTACAAGGAGGTCCCTCTTGGGGAGCAAGATGTGGAACAGGATGATTACGAGGGGAATTTCAGTCTGTGCTCAAGCCCTGTTCAGCATCAGACTATCCCCTCTGAAACCAGACCCCAGGATGAGGAGGTATTTGGTGAAACCTTTCTCCAGAAATCTGATCTCAGTGTATGTCAGATAATCCATGGTAGAGAAGAGTCCAGTCCACCTGATTGTAAGGAAGCAGGCAGGGGGTACTTGGGGTCTAAGGTATCTCACAATATCCCACAGCCAGCCAAACCCTATGCATGTCATGAGTGTGGGAAGGCCTTCAGCCAAAGCTCCCACCTTCTCCGACACCTGGTCATCCACACTGGGGAGAAGCCCTATGAGTGCTGTGAGTGTGGGAAGGCCTTCAGCCAGAGCTCCCACCTTCTCCGACATCAGTTCATCCATACTGGGGAGAAGCCCTATGAGTGCCAGGAGTGCGGGAAGGCCTTCTGCCAGAGCTCAGCCCTCACACAACACCAGAAAATCCACACAGGAAAGAGGCCTTATGAGTGCAGGGAATGTGGGAAGGATTTCAGCAGAAGCTCCAGTCTCCGAAAACATGAGAGAATTCATACAGGAGAGAGACCTTATCAGTGTAAGGAATGTGGGAAATCCTTCAATCAGAGTTCAGGCCTAAGCCAGCATCGGAAAATCCACACTCTGAAGAAACCCCACGAATGTGATCTTTGTGGAAAAGCCTTTTGTCATAGGTCCCACCTTATCCGGCATCAGCGGATTCACACAGGGAAGAAACCTTACAAATGCGAAGAGTGTGGGAAGGCCTTCAGCCAGAGCTCCAACCTCATTGAACATCGGAAGACCCACACTGGTGAGAAACCTTACAAGTGTCATAAGTGTGGGAAGGCCTTCAGCCAGAGCTCGTCGCTCATTGAGCATCAGCGGATCCACACTGGGGAGAAACCCTATGAGTGCTGTCAGTGTGGCAAGGCCTTCTGCCACAGCTCTGCACTGATTCAGCACCAGAGAATACACACTGGCAAGAAACCCTACTCCTGCGAATGTGGAAAGGCCTTCCGGCACAGGTCAGCTCTCATTGAGCATTATAAAACCCACACCAGAGAGAAGCCCTATGTGTGTAACATGTGTGGCAAGTCCTTTAGGGGGAGCTCACACCTGATCCGGCATCAGAAAATCCATGCTGGGGAGAAGCTGTAGATGGGGCCTTTTTCCAGATGTTGGAAGCCTTTGCCAGATGGAGCCCATACATACATTTCTTTGTCTCTTAGACTCCACCTACCTCCCTGATAACAATGCTGGATGGAAATTCTCCCACAAGGCCCTCCTGACCATTCCCCCTAGCAGGAAGGTTCCACATGACACCTGGCCAAGCACACCATGCTCTCAACAGGCTTCCTGGGTGAAGGGAGGATGGGATAATAGGGAAGTGAGCCCCCAAAGAGAACAGGTTTTCAGTTTCTCATTCTCATTTTGACTCTCAAGCCTATGAAATTTTGTTTTGCCCTCTCTTCATTTTTTTCCAAGTCTAGAAGAAGAAGAAATTTCAAGAGGCAGAAAATTTAGTTAAGCCCAGGAAAATGTCAAATGAACTTTAAATCAGTCTGCCTCAGTCTGACACTTTCAGAAGTTAGAAATCATGCTTACAGTCCAAGTCAGCTGAAGAAAATGAATTCAGTAGATAGAGCAGAGGCAAAATAGAGTTGTTTGCCGGGGTTGGGCATTAGGGAGAACCAAAACAGGTTAATAGGACAAAGGAGGGTGAGAGGGATTGGGAGTGACAGCAGTGAGCCCTTAGTGTGGTCTTATAACTTATCATTAGGGAAGATTCTGTCAGGTGGCTCTGTCATAAGAGGGTGGAAATTTGGTCCTCTTGTGGGCAAAGTATATTTAACATCTGGCTGTGACTTAGCTGGGGATGTTGGAAGCAGGTGATGAGAGGAAGAGGCTGGGTTCAAGTCCCAGGACTACTCCATCCTATTTGTATGACATTGAGCAAGTCCCATAACTTGCCCCAGGGTCTGTTTCCCCTTCCAAGGGATTGGGGTGATGGAACCTGGACACTTACCTCTAAGAGTAGGAACCAGGCTACACTTGAAAGTGTTTTGGCAGTTGAGAATGGAGAACCTTAGTGACCCCTGCCTACCCAGAAGCACATTCCCTGCAGACCAGAGAAGTGTCCCACATACTGATGCTTTCTCCTAGACACCAACTTGAGCCTTCTGCTGCAGCAGTGTCATCCATGCTCCTGTATTCTCTGTCCTAATGGAATTCACTTGGGGGCTATTTAAAAAGTCCCCTTACCCATGTCCCACTAGACCAATTTAATCGGCATCCCCATAGTTGGGTCCCTGACAATGGTTTTTTTCAAAACTCCCCAGGTAATTAGAAGTTATAGTGTGTGGCCAAGATGGGAGCCCTGTGCTGAGCTTTCATGCAGCCCCAACAGCATCTAATGTCAGCCTGCTTGCTCTGGCCAAGCAAGCCTGTTTGCCATTCTGTCTCAGTTTCCTACCCCCAGTCCCCTGGGTATGAGCTCAGGCAGTGATGATTGGCCAATAAATAAGCCCTTGTCCCTGGCCAGGGAATACCCCCTTGATTTTCGTGGTGCTGGGGATTGAACCTTGGCCTTGAACATGCTAGGTGAGTGCTCTACCACTGAGCTACATCCCCAGCATCATGGGTATATTAGTGCTGGCTATCCCTCTTTCCAGGCTCCCAGCTTCTCAGAGGTAGTGGAGAAAGAGGCAATCTGAGCTCTTTTGAAGTTTTCCAAAAGTTTACTTACCACTGGAATCAGATGAATTTATCATGGTGATGCTGGTTATCTCAGTTTTTCAGAAGCTCAGTGTGGCATTTATATATAGTTTTGATGAATAAATACGGAAAGCCGTATTTGTTCTTTAATAAGTGAGGCTTGGTAGGCCAGAGGTTTGGAACCATGGGTGTGATATACTGGAGAAATCCCGCTAAGAGTTCTGACTGCCCAGTGTCCCCAAGAATCCTGTGCATAACCAGCTGGACTCTGGAGGTCCAGGGCCTGACAGATGGTCCCAGATGCTGTTTACAGGCAGCTTTCACTCAAGGTCTTGTCATTTATCAGAAGTGAAGAGAGAATGCTAAGAAACAGTTGGGGCAGCAGGTGGCATTAGGCAGAGTCCCCTGAAAGATCTACCTCTTTTTTACTACCCATCCCCATTCCACCTCAGCCCTGGTCATCCTGTCCTTATCCAGGAAGTGTCCATCAGGGTCTCTCTCTGCTTTTCCTGCGTGTTCCAGCCAAATTGATTTCTAAGCACCACTTTGCACATGTCACCATTCTCCTTAAAGCTATCTTTCAGGAGCTTTTCTGCACATAGATCCTTATTTCAGCCAAACTGATTTACCTCCTCTGAAAAAGCCACACAGAATTCAGGCTGTTTGTTGCCCTCTCTTTTCATGCCTGGATTCTCATAATTCACTTTATGCAGTTCTCACCTTTTGGAGTATGCACTTTCTATCTCCTCTTCCTCCCTCCCTCCCCCTTTCCTTTCCTTCTTTTTATATAACATAGGAATTAACCCATCCCCCAAGGGTTAACAGATTCTTCTGTAAACATGGTTAGACCAGGCACTTTTCTATTTTTTGGATGTATGTATAAGCAGAGCCTTGTTTTGTTTTTTAAATTTTTCACTGTTCTATTATGTATTTTTTAGAACTATCTTTTTATTTAGATTCCCAAACAATGTAAAGTTATAATAAGATATGGTCCCTGATAATATTTTAACTATTTTTTAATTGAGTTGTCTTTTTTTGCTTTACATTTTTTCTCTTCTTCCTACAGTGATTTATATAGATGTTGTTGAGTGTTATAAAACTCCAGTTTTTGATTTTGTTTGCTAATTTGTTTTGTTAAAACATGTTTTCTCTCTTTCTCTCTCAGCTTAATACTTTCCAATTCTAAGATTAATCATTTAGATATGATTAATCATATATATATATATATATATATATATATATATATATTTGGTACCAGGGATTGAACTCAGGGGTGCTTAACCACTGAGCCACATCCCCAGCCCTAGTTTGTATTTTATTTAGAGACAGGGTCTCACTGAGTTGCTTAGCACCTCATAGTTGCTGAGGCTGGCTTTGAACTCTCCATTCTCCTGTCTCAGCCTCCCAAGATGCTGGGATTACAGCCACTGTGACTGGCTGATTAATCATATTTTTATTATCACTAATAAATGTAGGCACTTTGGTCTATGGTTTTCTCATTATAGTCATAGCTTTGTTTGCTCTCTATGTACGTTTTGATGTTTTGTTTTGTTTTGTTTTTTTGGGGGGGTTGTTATTTCAGCATTGGAAATTTCCTTTTGGCCCAGATGTTTTCTAAAAAATATTCCCAATTGTTTAATGCGTAGGTCTTTGCTGCTTATTTCTTGTACTGTATTATCAACATTTCTAAATGTCCATTGAACTTCTTTGGGCCAGGGTATATTATCAACTTTTATAAAGCATTTGTGTTCTCTCAAAAACTGTTTTTATTTCATCAGTTCTATTTGTCAACTCAATTTTTGGATTATTTAATTCAAATCCATACTCTGTATAAATTTCATTTATTTTGGAGATTTTAATCTGGGGTCTAAGGAACTACCTGGGACTAAGCATGAAGGGGATTTAGGAGCCCCTAAGAATTGAACAAGTTGTGTGTGTTTGTGGATTAATGGATTGTTTTGGGAGGGGGCTTGTAGCATCCATCATCTTTTGAAAGTACTCTGTGACCCCCCAAACAGTTATGAACACTCATTTACCTGGTCTAGTCCTAGTCTGATTTTTTTTCTTAGTTGTAGATGGACACACTACTTTTATTTTATTTATTTTTTTGAGGTGCTGAGGATCAAATCCAGTGCCTCACATATGCCCTTCATAGTCTGATTTTGTATGCTTTTTCCTTTTGTTTTTTTGTGTGATTTATATTTCACTTTTATGTTTTAGTTGTTTTAAATTGTTTTGTTGTTGTTGTTGTTAATATTATTATTATTATTATTTTGAGACAGGGTCTCACTGTATTGCCCAGGTTGACCTTAAACTCCTGGGCTCAAGTGGTCTTCCTGCCTCAGTGTCCTGAGTAGCTGGGACTATAGGTGCACATTATCATGTCTGGCTTCTATTTCACTTTCAATATTTATTTCTCTTTTTATGTATGTTGGTGTAGTTTTCTCAAATCTTCTTTTGAGAAATAGGCATTTTTAATAATTACATATTAAAAACTGTGCCTTTTAGTGCCCTGTTTACCTCTTTTAATGCTTCTAGCTTCAACTTTTCCAAAATTGTGATTGAAGCCTCTTGCTTTTCTTGAATTTGCATTTGCATGATTGAGTTTAGTGTTTTACTTTTTTAACTTGTGTATATATTTTGCTGTGTGCCTGTAACTTATAAACGGCAAATTGTTGAACTTTGTTTTCTGTTTTTTATAAAATTATTTTCTTGTTACTTAAGAAATTCTGTTATTAATATTTTAAGCAAGTCATAATTAATTTTCATCTTTGTATTTTAAAATATATTAGCTCAATTAATCCAAGTAGCCCATGCTCATTTCCTGCCCATCTCTATGAGTTATTAACCACATGTAGAGTGTTATTTCTGGGTAGACTAGAGGTCTGCCTGCTGCTGCCTCTCTCTGACTTCTTGCATTTGGGTTCAGTGTCACACTCTGCCTGGAGCTAACTTTTCAAGTCATAACCTACAGCTTTAGTGTCCTTAGTTGTAAATATAGAAGAATGATGCCACTCTACAACCTTTTGGGGTTCAGAGGTGTACAGAAAGCAAACCTGTGTATTAAATTATGAGGTACAGCTGATTATTAAGCTACTGGTATTTTGTAAACTTTTTTGAATTGAGGGCCTTACATATAACAAACTTGAATTGAGGGCCTTACATATAACAAACATGTACTCTACCATTAAGCAACACTCCAGCCTTACAATATATATTTTTAAGTTCTTATTCTCACTTGCAAAGTTGTTTTAACATTACATTGTGCCTTCCTTTTTGGAAAATCTTGCAGACGTAGCAAAGAAATACACATCCAAATCCATCCCACCTCCCTAAGTGAACCTGTAATGGTCATTTGAAGAGAGAGGGGGAACTTAGTCTCATCTCCCTTTCCTATAACCTTTTTGTTTCTGCCCAGGCCTTCTCATGCCACTCCACCCACCCACAAGACACTGTCAGCACCTTCTTCAGTGGGAGGAGGAAAGTGCTGTCACAGCTGCAAAGGCTTATGAGAATGGTCACTTCTGTTCACTCCAGTTGCAGGTTGGGAAATTAAAGCTGATGACTTGCCCAAAGTATGTGGTGATTTAGTGTCAGATCTACCCAGCAACCATGGGGAAGAACGTTTCTTAATATAATATTGGAGCCCTAGTCTGTTGTAATCCAGAACATGTCAGAGGTGGCAAATGTGTTTAGCCATCACAGGCCATGGTTGCTCAGTTCTTGGGGATGAGTGGACATTCACCATCATCACATAAGGTTGATGTATTGATTTTCTGGGAGTGAGGAAAGATAAACCTTTTTCTTGTAGGAAAACTACCTTCTGATAGTATCAGTATCTGATATCTCAGAAAAACATGTTATAAAGTTGCTTGGTGAGTGTGGAATTGGAGTATAAAATGATAGAGGATTTTGCCCCATGATGCTATGTGTGGACCACCACTACCACATCACAGAGACCAAATACTTGGTCTAGTTGTCAAAATGTTTATTGGGGCATGTGCTGGAGAACATCTGTTTGCCTCACTCACTTTCTGCTTTTGTGGCTATCTGTGTTCCCTGAAGTCAGATGGCTTTCCACTATGCCACCCTCCTGGTGGTTCAAATGAGGGTGGTGAGGGAAGGAGGTGTTTCGAGTGCCCTCTGGTGGTTCTCTGCAAGCATTTGAAAGGGTTTTAGTAGATCACCAGAAGTCCAGAAGGTCTTTTCGTTGGCCTTCATTTTCTTTTCCTTCTTTTTTCCCCCCCTTGTCTTTAAATCCATCCCAGCTGCCGGGCACTGTGGTGCATGCCTGTAACACGAGTGGCTCAAGGGGCTGAGGCAGGAGGATTGGGAGTTCAAAGCCAGCCTCAGCAAAAGAGAGGCACTAAGCTCAGTGAGACCCTGTCTCTAAATAGAATACAAAACAGGGCTGGGGTTGTGGCTCAGTGGTTGAGTGTCCCTGAGTTCAATCCCCAGTACCAAAAACAAAAGCAAACCAAAATTAAATCCCTCCTTTCTCTTGTCACTGATCCTAGCTTGGCTAGTTTGTCTCCCCCCCCCCCCCCCCCCCGCCCCAGAGATGGCTGGAAGCACCTCTTACTTCTCTCCTCTCTACTTCTCTTAAATCTTCTAGTTCTTGCAACTCCAGAAATGAGAGGGTGTCACACCTAACCAAGCTAGGGTCAGTGTGTTCTCTACTTAATCCTCACATTCTCTCATCTCCCAGAAAAGGGAGAGATACCTCCTGGGTTTGGGACTCACCTCTCAGGACCATGGGACCACTTTTGACCACCCTCAAAAGTGAGGAGCTGTCCTGGGCTCACAGTAGGGGATGATCAGGAGATACAGGTCTTCCCTTGGAGGCGGGTGGTATATATCCAAGGCTTATAAATGTGAGTTTTACCCCAACACTTGAAGCCCTCTCCCATCAGTGCCCACTCCAGAAGCACTCAGCATGGTCTCCCTCTCTGTCCATCTTTCTTTCTACTAGGTTGGGAAGGGCCTACAGGTCTCACAGTGCACCATACCCTACTGGGCTGTGGTGTAAGCTCTCCGCTAGCATTTGCTCTGTGAATCAAGAATGTTTCTTCACCCTCTGTTTCCTGTTTCCAGTTTGCTGATCTCAAGTCAGGAATCAGATACCACCTCCTCATCTGCCTTCTTGTTCACAAATTCCCCCCAACTTCTGCTTCTGTATTTTGCTTGACAGCTTCTCTTTCTCATCTGATTGCTCCCACCTTAGTGTAGGCTGCTGCCATTCCTCTGCTGGCCCAGTACACAGGTCCTCCTTGACCTCCCTTCCCTTCTGTCCTTCCTTTCTTCTTTTGGCAGCCTGTCTTTCCCCTGCAATCCTGATGAGGTCACTCTCTTCCTCAGATACCATATTGAATTTCATGGAAACCTAACTATCCAGCCTGGTCTGAAGGCCCTTTCTGATCTAACTCCACATGGTCCAGCCACTTCCTCTCCCAGCCACCAAAGGAACATGGGCTGAAGGTGGTGGTGGGGTTCCTATTCTAAGATAGCTACTCTGAGAAAGCCTGCTCCCCCTCAACACCCACCATTCTCATCAGCTCTGCTGTATTCGGGGTCTGAGGTGCACTTATTTAACCAGGAAAGTAGACCAAGTTTAGGGTTAGGGTCAGCACTTTGGCTAGTGGAGAATAAGAAAATAGGTTGCAACCATCTTGTGTTTCACTGTTATACTTTCATGTTGTAATCTTAATGCATGCCATATTCATGTTTTCCTAAAAACAACTTTTTCACAAGCACCCCAGCCATGATTCTCTGTGAGCCCTTGTCTTCTGCAAACTATATCTCAGCTAAGAACTCCCAGGCCTCTCGCAGACCTTCATGATGGTCAAGGTTCATTTTGCTCTTGGTTGCTTCCTTGTTTCATGGATGCAGGGAGAGGGGAGGAGATTTCTCTTCCCACTTCAAGGTGACAGTGGAAGACCTTGTCATTTCATGTTCTCAAAGAGTAAGAAGGCTGGCAGGAGCTCATTTCACCATAGTATGTGGAGAAAGGGGAGTAAAATGGAGGGAGAGAAAAAGATACATCAATCTATCAGGACAAATTTGGAGAACAGAGCTTGGGATACAGTGCCCTCTGTGTCTCAGTCCTGGGAGTACTACCTGAAGGTGTGTGTGGCATGGAGCAGAAAGCTACCAGAAGCCAGGAAGTGGAGAAAGCTCTGCTCACCAGGGACAAAATGTAAACCCCAAAGGCAGGCCCCCAGTGAACTACTTCCTCTAGTTATACCCCACCTGCTTATAGTTACCACCTAGTTAATCTGTATCAGTAGATTAATTCACCGATTAGGTTACAGCTCTCATAATCTAATCTTTTTACCTTTGAACATCCTTGCATTGTCTCACACATGAGCTTGTTATCGAAACCATAATCATGTTGCTGCTCAAAAAATGTCAGATTTTGCAGTGTATCAGATTTCGGGCTTTCAGATTAGAGACACAAAACCTATTGTAACACTTTCTTCCCACCCCCAAATTCCCTATGATCCAACACAAAATGTGTTTATAGTGGGTTACCTTTGATTTTTGTAGCTAAACTACAGAATATCAAAGGTGTTGTGTGTGTGCATGTGTGCACGTGCATGCACGTAAAGTGTACAATAGCTAGAGGAATAGATGTCACCTAACAGTAAATGAAGGATGTCTAGACTTGAGTCCTCTATAAGGAACAGGATTAATATGTTTTTGATTATACAAGGCAGCTATCATATTAGTGGACCACCTCTGGTCACATGCGCACCCCCACCACTGAGAACAGGTACCAGGGATTAACAGCCTTTTCCCTGGGCACAACATGATTTTGTTATCTATTATTTGGAAGTTGATATAGTTAAAGGAGGTGTGTGGAAATGCCACATTGACAAAGGGGTGTTGTGGTTTTGTACTGTTATAACCTGCCTAACTGAGCTAAGTTTCCCAGAATCACCTTCAATACTTGATTTTGAGTCAGCATTGCCCTAAATAGACATTTGAAAGACACCAGGGTGGTAGAAAGGAAGTGACAGCTATCACAATTTGTAATAGTGAGAGGCAGAGATACTAGGATTAGAGTGAGGCCAAGGGTCCCTGGGGCTAGCTTATACATAGGAAGCACCCATTCTCAGGGCTGCACAAGAATAAGGGTTAGAGCCGCCTGAGAGTGAGGACTCCTTAAATGTTGAATCTGCTTGAAACTACCATTTGTGGTAGTTCTCCCTGTTCTTAGGAAGTAAGTAGGCCCAAGAGTGACCTGTAAGAACAAAGCACTGCTGACCTGACTTTTCTGCTATGGGCTGAAACCATCTCCTCTGCACATTCCCCACTTGTTACAGAGCTTGACATTAGTAAAAGCTGATTTTATTCAGGAACTATTACAATAAGGAAAAAAGAGGCCTTAGTATAAAATTGGGCTCAATTTCAGATACATGATGGCCCAATGGGAATTTGTAGTTAAGGAGCAGGGTCAGAGCTGGTAGATGAAAAACAACTAAGAGAAAACACCAAGGTAAAGAGGGATTCTTGCTAAACCAGTTTAATAGGATTCTTACTGAAGGTAAGTCAGGTGTTCAGACATGGGCTGGGGGAGGTAGGGGAAGATGAGATAGTTTATATAGCAGAGGTGAACAGCTATTCAGGGTGTGAGACTCTGGCTAACCTAATTTAGCAGGATTCTTGCTAAAACTGGGC